TCTGGGTATTCGGAAACTCCCAAGTAGGCTCCAGCAGCAGAGCTAGCAGCCAAGTGGTCTGCAAGTACCAGATGATTCCAGCATTTGCTCAACAACAGCATGCTGGCACTGAAGACGAGACGACCGTCACATGTTCGCAATCAAGGCGAGTGTTCGCGTGCCGGCGACTTCGCATGCTGCTTTGTTTGGTATCGCTGATGGACAAGACCAAAGCCCTGCAAATTCCATGGAATATGCCATAGTTGCCGCACATTAAGGGAATGCACCATAATTCTGAGAGTTTAGGGTGAAGGTCGTATCACAGATTCATTCCTCATCCCGGAAGTTGCACTCAGCTACAGCACCTCGAGAGGTTATCGGGTTCCGGAAATCCACGAACCGACCAAGAATCTGATACAGTCCTGGTAGTGGTGCCGAGTGCATACGACAGGTGTTCCAACTCAGGTTTCTTGTGTACTCCGGCTGATGATATAAATCCTGCATTACCCATAATATAAAAAAAATATACCATAATTCCCATATAGTCCCTATTATGGCTAATGCAGGATTTATACCATCAACCGCCCACTCCTAAACCCTAAACCCTAAACCCTAAACTCTGGACCCTAAACCCCACTCCAACTGCTTTTGACAGGGGTGCCTTGCAGCCTCTGCCCCGGGCTCAGAGCAAATGCGGCAGAGGACCTGGTGGTACTTGGAGGATCATGGGACTTAGTAAGTAAGGTTATAAGTACCTTAATTGGGGTTATAAGTACCTACAAATATAGTTACCTTATTTACAACCTTACTTACTAAGTCCCATGATCCTCCAAGTAGAGTCCGGGGAAGTTCAAAACGCGTGGTTAAGAGTGAAGCTTTCAAGCGTGACTTGTGTTGTCTGTGTCCCTTTCCGGATCGAGGTCCCCTGTCAACGGCAAACTGTCCGCGACCGATTGTGACACAAGTCACACCGCCTGCAGGTGCCTGTTCTGCCGCTTGATCTTCACACAGTACGGCAAATTGCAAGCCGTGCTTTCAATCTAGATGAACTTCGTTCGAAACTCCTGTACACCATAGCAGACAACCGCAAGTCTTGTGTCAAAGGGCAGAGTCCGGCGCAAGTTCGCAAAGTCCAGGTGATGGGGCGCTTTTCACATTTCGGGCTTTGGATTTTGGATTCAGGATTTACAGGGACGGCTCAAGCCTTTTCGGAATGATTCTGCCTCCTGTGCTGGTTGCCTGCAGACACCTTGCTTGGCTGGGGCGACAACAGCTACGACCTGACGGTGACTTTCGAAGCTTGACTGATCCCGGCCACTTCTGTGAGGTTGCATGAAGGTGGGTTAAGGATATGAGTACGGATCAAACGGAATTCCGGGAGCCTTTTGTCTATGTGGTCTGCCGGGCCCTAACAGGGTGTGGTTGCATGTGGCGTACGGTTTGTTTCAGCTTCGAGCTTTGCCGAGCCGGTGCCAAGCTGCTGCCTCAGGATCGGCCAGTACGCTTTCCGAGACCGAGTGATACGATCACCGGCGACATGCCTGGCACTTATCTGCTGCCTAAAAACATGCCTCAGCAGCAAAATCCGAGAAAGCTCCTCTGAATTTGAATGTGGCCTATCAGAGTTAAGATATGGTAGGACGCGATTATCACCAGAACATGAGACCCCTTCGACGAGCCACCAAGATTTCTCCTCTGCGAGCTCGAGGTGCAGCTGCTTTGCGGATCACCCGCTATACTTGCCTGTAGTTTTCTGGGATCGGAATGGCCACTAATAAAATTCGCGTGTAATTTGTCCCCATATACGTCGACTAAAACCCCAAGGCCTTGCTAAAAGAACGTTAAGGGCTCGAACCCGTTTGCCTAGATTGGGTTCTTGTTAAGGAACTTAATTTAAGTTACCATTATAAGGAAACCGTAATGTTTACTCTAGGTCCCTATCAGTCATGGTAACGTAAATTATAGATGTTGCTTGTCTTCACTCTGCGCACTTGGTGGCTACTGGTAGGTCATGCGCAGCCCGTGGATCGAACCCCTATCATACATATATGGGTGGCTGTCAAAATTAGGGTCTCTTTTTTGGGTATCCTGAAAATTATATAGGTGCCGTATTATATTAGGGACCCAAAAAGGGACCCTTAATTCCGACAACCACCCACATACATACATGTAGAAGTATAGGTATGGGAGTTTCCGAAAATTAGGGATACCTTTTGTGGGTTCCTTATGAGGGTCCTACCATGTAGGCTACTGTAGTAGGGTCCCTTATTTTCGGAGATCCGTGTATACATACATACATACATACATACATACATACATATATATATATACACATATGTATAGACAGATAGATAGATAGATAGATAGCCCTCTCTGACCAGGCAGGGCAGTTTATCCCATGGGATGCACCACAGGGTGGCACGCTCCGCATCGAGGCATCCGCGTGCAGCTTCGAGAGTTCTGGGGTTCCCCTCCTAGGTACTTGAGAAGGATCATGGGACTTAGTAAGTAGGGTTAGTAAGGGTTTCTATAAGGGTTCCCTTAAAGGGCTTCTTAAAAGGATCTATAGGGTTTAGGGTTTAGGGTCTACTTGGAGGATCATGGGGGGTCCATAGAGGAATCTATAGGGCTCCTTAAACAGATCTAGAGGGTTTAGGGTTTAGCGTCTACAGTATTAGGAAAGCACCCTTGAAGGGGACCCTTGTTTCTCTTAGAAGGGAGGGTCTATCTCCCTAAGAAACCCCCTAATCCTAACTGCTATCCCCAGACAGCCACAAATCGCTTGACTAAGGAATATACTTTAGGGGCCTGAACAATTGCCAACAACATTGTGGGGGGTTCTTCCCTACCATGATTATAGTAGAATATACCGCACAACCCTTTTCTAATTATTAAAGTCGCTATGGACCTTGAACTATAATGGACGTATTATCACGGTTGATTTCAATTTGTGTGTGTCTCTGCCTGAAACCGACTAAGGTACAGCACCATGTCCCTCCCACGTTCCTCGAGCTGACAACCCTCAAGGGGTCGTTAAGGTGCCATTTAGAGTTGAGGGTTCAGGGCTCGGGGTTCCACTTGTTAGGATAGGGGGGACGCGGGTAACTAGATGCCGATAAAAAGCCTGGCAAGTTCTAGAACCTCAATTCAAGCGATAAGATGCTTACTCATGCCGCACATGCTCGGCTCCCCACACTCCGATCCGCTGAGTGGGGTTCAGGGTTCCGAGGTTGAGAGTCTAGTCTTTGGATGAGCACGGTTCGGGGTTTTAAGGTTCTGATGTTCGATGACTAGATACCTAAGGTAGACCTTAGAAGGGGCCCCCACCCTGTAATAGTGACCATAAGGATTGTATTAGGGCCCTATTATATTCCTATCATAGCCACTTTTACAGGGTGGGGGCCCCTTCGAAGGTAGACCCCGGGCCTTAAAACGTCATGCTCCCTGTAGCAAACCCTGGTAGGGATTGAGATTAAAACTTCGAGAGCCTCAACGGCTCCAGGCCGCTGGCAGCCCCCTCTTTGCGAAAATGGGAGTTTCCGAAAATAGGGGACCCGATTAATATACTACCCTATATAGTAGGATCCTTACTATAAGGACCCCAAAATAAGGTACTCCCTTATTTTCGGTAACTCCTGCTGTTCGGGGTCGTTCGGGGTGTTGGGGGCGACGACCATAGAACCAAAAGCCGGCCGGCAGCTCCGAGCTACTTGGGGGATCAGGGACTTGGTTAGGGATCTGCAGGGGTTCCTTAAAGGGATCTACAGGGGTTCCTCAAAGGGATCTATAGGGTTCCTCAGAGGATCTTTAGGGTTAAGGGTTTAGGGTCTAGTTGGAGGATCAGGGACTTAGGAAACAAGGTCATAAGTGCCTGTACATGCGGTTACAAGTAAGTATGAGCATAGTGGCCTTGTTTTAACATTCATAACCTCACGTGCTAAGTCCCATGATCCTCTAAGTAGAGGCCCTAGACCCTAAACCCTTAACCCCTAAATCCCTAAACCCCTAAAGCCTGAACCCGAACCCCCTAAAACCCTGAACCCCTAAACCCCTAAACCCTGAACCCTAAACCCAAACCCCTGAACCCTAAACCCCTGAACCCTCCTAAACCCCTTAAACCCAAAGCCTCCCTTTTTGCACAGGTTCCGGAGTCGAAGCGGCTGATCCTGAATGGAGGGCTTCAGGTGCGTCTGCGGCTCGGAGTCGCTTCTTTGACGAACCTTCTGCTGCTGAGGGTTTAGGGTTTAGGGGCGTGCTTGGAGGATCATGGGACTTAGTAAGTAAGGTTATAAGTACATTGATTGGGGTTATAAGTACTTACAAATATAGTTACCTTATTTATAACCTTACTTACTAAGTCCCATGATCCTCCAAGTAGGGCTTAGGGCCTGATTCAGGTGCTCTTTCTGAAGCTGCCAGAAACTGTCTGAAGGGTTTCACTGTTGTGCATTGTGCTGAGGTTTGCAGCTGAGTGCAGGGCTCAGCATCAATGGCAAAAGGACTGTTGCTGCGAGTGCATGTACGGACTTGTGCCCAAGCTTCGGCACTTGAGAAAGAATGCAGCCACGCGAGCGACATGTCCATCCAAGGCAATCATTCGTTCTGGTCTCGCCTCCACCTTAGCTGTTGCTGCCGCCTGCAGAGTTTTCTGTTCGCCGTGTGCCGTGGGTGCCAATACCATTTCATGTGACTCTGTAGATGCTTCAGACCACGGAAGAACTCCGGTGACTTCATTGATCGTGGTCCATACAGGTTCTACAGATACCCAATCGCTGGTGACCTGCACCAATGGCTCTCAGAAAGCAAAATCTCTGATTTGCCCTGACCTAGTCCCTAAATCTAAAACGTTTCGTCCTAGACCCAACAACCCAGAGACTCCAATATCCCCTAATTAAAGAATATTCCTTAAATCATATTAGGGATCCTATCATAATTTAAGGCATATTCCCTCATTAAGGGATATTGGAGTCTCTGGGAATCTCTGAGGTTACCTCTGCACGCTGAACATTCAGGACGGAGCCATGGCAGCGGCCTTGGGACGGGTCACAGCACCGTTTAGGGTTTTAGGGTTTAGGGTTTAGGGGTTTAGGGTTTAGGGTTCTCTTACTGCGACGCAGTCTTTTCGGAGATGTTGGGAGGGTTCTCAAAGGCTAGGATGCCCAGTAGTACCCTTATTCCCTTTTTCTAGTCCTAGGTTCCTTATAAAGTTACCCAATACCAAAAAGAGAGGCTTTTTTATTCCTAGGTTACTGGGTATTCTAGAAGGGATAGCTCCGGTAGGTTGAAAGAGCATGTGACAGCCGATGTTGTGGTCGGATGAAGATTCATTGAAGAATCAGCGGTGTTTTCGTGCGAGCCCGAACACCGATCCGGGCTTTGCAGCTTGCCAACTTAGTAGCTGAGTGGATACACTTTACACAACGGGATAATGGTACCCACTATACAACTGAAACTGTACACTTTTCCGGGCTTATGAACTCAGCAAGTAAGCAAACTAAGTGTGCGTCCGATGACATGCATTTCAAGGTGGACGTCGCCGAGGACGTGCCTTGCGTCGCAGCCAGCTGGCACCGTGCACGGGACCTGGTTGGCTGAGTTAACCCTGAACTCGAAACCCCTCAACACGAGATCTCAAGTTCCGTAAGCCCGTCCGAAACCCTAAACTCTAAACTCTAAACCGTCCGTCAGAACCCCCAAACCCTAAAAACCACTTCAACAGCTTTGCATTCCGAGTTGAGCTGGAGGCCGCTCCTGCACTGAACTATAGGGGCCTTAATAATAATAGTAATCGTAATGGTAATAATCATAATAATAATGATAATAATAATACCCATATTCTTTTTTGGAGGGGGGTGGGGTTCTGCTTAGAAGTATGGCAATGGGCCCCAGAGCCCTGTTCTACTTATTGAGGCTCCTAGAGGCCCATTGGCACTTGAAGTGCACGAGTCCAATCGAGCTTTTCCCCTCTGTTCGCTCCCCTGCCAAAGGCCTCGATGAGCCCGCGCCTCAGAAGCCGCTAGCGGAGTCGTAAGCACGGACTCTCTGGGTGCTCGGTCCAGGAGAGTCTGACACGAGGGCAGATTCAATTGCACATCGTTAGGACCATTCTCATGCAAAGCGTACGTACTCCTAGGTAGAGCTCGTCTTCAAAACGCCAGGTGACAACATGGCCCCACTCGCCACTACAATAGCTCCGGACAGTGGTCTCCGGGACATCAGCGTTGACGTCAGTGACTCTCGGCGTAACAGTCTTGCTTTCCGTCCATTGAAATGACCAAGCTGCAGGATGCGAGCACTGACTGCATGGCCCCGGGGTGTTCGTCCTATACTATACTCTACTATAGTGTACTGTGCCATACTATACTATGCCACGTATTTTTGTTCAAGGGTATGATACCTTTTCACATTTCCGACATGTGGCAACAGTGGATTGCAAGCCCGAAGCACACAAGCACTGAAGCGCAAGGCAGACGCGATGTCGACAGATACACAAGCACACATCTACAGATTATGTATACACACATGTGTCTGTATGTATGTATGTATGTATGTATGTATGTAACCACATACATATATGCATACATACATACATACATACATGCATTGGACTTGGCCTTTCAGCACCATCGGTTTCCTTGCCGAGGAAGCCACAGTTCGCTTCAACGAGCCTGTCTATCTGATGGCAATCAGGGAGGCCCTTCGCGTTGTGGTCTGAGGGGCTTAGGCTTCTTGTTTCAAGATCTAGAAATCCAGTGCGGTTGCAGGAATGTGGAGAGCCCAGAAAGCCCAATACCCCTTAATTAAGGAATACACCTTAAAATATAGGGGCCTTATTATTATGATTTAAATTTAAGGATATTCCTTAATTAAGGGGTATTGGGCTCTCTGGGAGAGTCTCATCTGACACAGGCCACGCTTTTCCAGCTGGACCCAAACAACGGCCCAGAACGTTACAACGAGGCCTTGCACCAAGCTACGGGGCCTCTGCCTGCTGCTGTCTATCATAATCTAGGGGCCCTAATAGTTAGAATAGGGTTCCTTTAAAGGGGTCTATAAGGGCTGCTATGAGGGTTATTATGAGGATGTTAGTGTCAGGGCCTCTGTTGTCGTCTCCCTTTGTCAATTCCACTCTCGATTTGCTGTGCGGGTCATGCGATTTGGGTTCAGATCCATGACCTCCGTTAAAGAATTGTGCCGATGACTGCGGTTGCTCCTCTAATCCTCCTTTTGAGTACGGTCTTCCGCCCTGGGCCAGGTGGCAAAGCTGCCAGCGCCTCAAAACATTTCGGGTGCTCGCGCATGGCGCATCGCCCCAAAACCTCCAAAACTGTAAGTCGCCAAATTCCCAAATCCCTAAACCCCCTAAACCCCTAAACCCCCTAAAGCCCTAAACTCCCCTCTACAGCCCTCAACCCGTAAAACCCCCACCCCAGAGCCCTAAACCCCAGGCCGTTAACTCTTACCGACACGGTGGAGATCCTGGCCCGGCCCTTGATACACAAATCTTAGGGGTACTTTCAAACATTTTTAATTTTTGGTTATTATAATCCCTAAGAAACAGCTAAATTATAATCTTGCTAGGGTTCTAAGTTCACTAGAGAAATCTTCGCAAAGCTGCATCATAATGTGGGGGCCAAAGTGGTTACCAATTAGAATAGGGTTCCTGTAAATGGGGTTTACTACAAGGGTACTATAATATAGGGGCCTTAATAAGTTATAGTATGTTGGGGGGGGTCCTGATTATAATTATAGTGTAAGGTGGGCCCCAAAACCCCATCCTAATTGTTAAGGCCCCTATATTACACCCGCTGGTTTTGCTCAGCAGTTTCCTGTCGGATGTGGGGGTAGTGCTAGGTTTAGGGTTTGGCGTAGGGGTGTGAATGTTTGCCGGCCTTGCGAAATCCCAGGGTTTGCTGAGACCGACCACTTGCGAAGACATGACGTTTGTGTGTGCGTGTGTGTGCGTGGGGGGGGGGGGGAGGTATTCCCCCCTCTTACATGCTACGACGAATTAACGAATTAGATCTTCGTCAAAATAACTCACGGAAGTGCTGCTAAGATGCTGTAACATGGGAAGGACACCAAATCACAGTCTGTTCTTCTTTCTGCACCCGGATGAGCCCGAACCTTTTGCCAAGCACCGCGACCCTGTTCGAACGCTATGCAGGAAACCCTCAAGATCTCCCTAAGCGCCGTGCGGCTGGAGCACGATTCCGTGCAACTCGGCCTCGAACTTGTGCTTGTCAAGGGCTTCAGGGCTTCAGGGTTTTTTTGTAGTGCACGTGCCGGCCGTCCCGAGCTCCGACGACTGCACTTTGAACGCGAAGAGTCGGAGCCTTCATCGCGAATCCCATCGGCGAGAGGCAGGGCACCCCCCAGCATCCCTCCTTGCTGGGGCCACCCCGTTTTTACGGAAGCCAGTGTGAGCAGAGGGCACCGACCCAAAGACCGGAGGGCGCCGAACCCAAGAACCGGTGGTTTGGGGTGAGCCTGGAAACCCTACACTCGGCTTCCCCCCACAGTACCATCGTGACCCATTTCGGCCCTGGTATGTGGATCTCCTTGCAGTGCGCGTGTTGGGTGCGCTTCCGCATGGTAGCCAGTACCCATCGGCCCTTCGGGGTGGGACATGGATCCTCCCGGTATTGTCTCCATGGGTCGCTAAATCTCAACCACCTGGACACGAAGGAGTGAAGCATGCTGGTGTCTATCTGCGGCCGATGGGAACCGGGGATAAAACCCTCGATTTGTGCAACCCCCCTTTCAGGCGGATGCTGTGGCTGCACGAGCAAATTGTTAAGATGTGGTTGAGCGTTTGTTGGTGGTGTTGGTGGTGTTGCTGCTACTGCCGCTGGGACTGTTGGTGTTGTTGTTGGTGGTGATGGTGGTGGTCGTGGTGGTGGTGCTGCTGCTGTTGCTGTTGCTGTTGCTGTTGCTGTTGCTGCTTCTGCTGCTGCCGCCGTTGCGTTGCCGTTGCCTTTGCCGCTGCTGCTGTGCTGATGGTACTCGGGGTGTTGTGGTGGTGTTGTACTGGTGTCATGGCGTGCAGGTTGTGGTTGTAGTTGTAGTTGTAGTAGCTGCGGTTGCAGTGGTGGTGGTGGTGGTGGTGGTGGTGGTGGTGGTGGTGGTGGTGGTAGTAGTAGTAGTAGTAGTAGTAGTAGTAGTAGTAGTAGTAGTAGTAGTAGTAGTAGTAGTAGTTGTTGTTGTTGTTGTTGTTGTTGTTGTTGTTGTTGGTTGTTTGTTGGTTGTTGGTGTTGTGGTGTTGGTGTTGGTGTTGGTGTTGGTGTTGGTGTTGTTGTTGTTGTTGTTGTTGTTGTTGTTGTTGTTGTTGTTGTTGTTGTTGTTGTTGTTGGTGTTGGTGTTGGTGTTGGTGTTGGTGTTGGTGTTGGTGTTGGTGCTGGTGCTGGTGCTGGTGTTGTTGTTGTTGTTGTTGTTGTTGTTGTTGTTGTTGTTGTTGTTGTTGTTGTTGTTGTCGTCTTCGTCGTCGTCGTCGTCGTCGTCGTTGTCGTTGCCGTGGTCGTTGTTGTCGTTGTTGTTGTTGCTGTTGCTGTTGCTGTTGTTGGTGGTGGTCGTTGGTCGTTGGTCGTTGGTTGGTGTTCGTTGTTTGTTGTTGTTTGGTTGCTTCTGTGTTTGTGTAGGTGTGTTTGCTTGCTTGGTTGTTTGTTTGTTTGTGTGTCTGTGTGTTTGCTTGCTTGGTTGTTTGTTTGTTTGTGTGTTTGTGTGTTTGCTTGCTTGGTTGTTTGTTTGTTTGCGTGTTTGTTTGTTTGTTTGTTTGTTTGTCTGTCGGTTTGGTTGTGTGGCTGTTTCTGTGTTTATGTGTTTGCTTGGTTGGTTGGTTGTTTGTTTATTTTTGTTTCTTTATTTGCTTGCTTGTTTGTGTATATGACTATGCGTTTCTGTACGTTGCGTGTTTGTTTGGCTTTTTGTTGTTGTTGGTCGTTGTCGTCGTCGTCGTCGTCGTTGTTGTTGTTGTCGTCGTCGTGGTTGTTGTTGTTGGTGGTGGTGGTGGTGGTGGTGGTGGTGGTGGTGGTGGTGGTGGTGGTGGTGGGATTGGTTGGTTGGCTTTGGTTGGTGTTGGTTGTTGTTGGTTGTTGTTGGCTGTTGGCTGTGTTTGGTTGTGCTTGTTGTTGGTGGTGTTGGTGTTGGTGTTGGTGTGGTTGTTGATTTGTTGGTTGAATTTGGCCGTTATTGGTTGGTGGTTGTGCTTTATTGTTGTCGGTGTTGGTCGTTGGTTTTCGTGTTGCCGCTGTTGCGTGCTATTGGTGTCGCTGTTGTTGGTGGCGCTGCTGCTGCTGCTGCTGCTGCTGCTGCTGCTGCTGCTGTTGTTGTTGTTGCTGCTGTTGTCGCTGGTAGTGGTGTTGTTGGTGTTGTTGGTGGTGGTGTTGTTGGTGTTGGTTTTCTTCTTTTTGAGCTCTTATTGTAGTTGTAGTTGTAGTACTATAGCGGTGGTTGTTGTTGTGGTTGGTTTTCAGACCCTTTAGTGTATATGGGTTTCAGCTTATGTACTTGCAGGATGCGGTTTAGGTGGAGTTGGGACCCTGTATTCCCCTGAGACATAAAGCCTAAAGCCCAAAAGCCCGAATCCAACTCTATCACCCTGAAGCCCTAAACCCTAAAACCCTAAACCCTACACCCTAAATCATACTGCACCCCGAGGGTAAAACCTCCAATCCTTGAACCAAAACTTTAAATCCTCGAACCCCAAGCCTCCTCCACTGCCTTCTTGGAGGATCACGCGACTCAGCAAGCAAGTCGGGTTATAGGTATAAAACAAGGAAGTATACTTACAATTACCTATAACCCCAATTACGGCACTTACAGTTCTGGTTCGAAGAGAGAGAGAGAGCGAGAGACAGTAAGTAACTAGGGGAAACAATTATAAATATGAAATAAGGTAACTATACTTATTGCTACGTATAACCCCAATTACGGCAGAGAGAGACAGAGAGGAGCCGCCGAACTGAGCAGTGATCCTGCACAGAGGGTCAGGCAACTGGGTCCCCTCACCCAGAGATCCCAATACCCTTTAATTAAGGATTATACCTTAAATTATAGGGGGCTTGATATTATGGTTTAAGTTATACTCCTTAATTAAAGGGTATTGGGTTCTTTGGGCAGTGCCTGCCTATCAAGCCCTTCGCAGCATAGGGGCCCAGGGGCTCTTCTTTCTGGATCCTCTCCAGGTTTCGGGCCATGAAACTGACCCGAACAACCAACCCAGAAATCCCAAAAAAGTGACCCGGAGTAGCATAAGTAGCAGCGCCCGGCAGCAGGCTCGGCAGCAGAGGAGGAGCAGCAGCAGCAGCAAAAGCATCGTCATCATAGCCTTTGATAGCTACGAGAACACTAAATCCTAAACCCGAAACCCTAAATCCTAGACCCTAAACCGGTTTAGGGTTTAGGGTTGTGGTCGTAGTGGTGGTCGTCGGCTCCGTGCTCGTCGGCGTCGCCCTCATGGTCGTGGTCTCGTCTTCGTCGTCGTTGTAACAACATCTGTAGAGACATGGTTTAGGCTTTAGGGTTTAGGGTTAGAGTCTGTCGGAGCTAGTCGTGGCATTGGTGCAGTTTTGCCAAAGTGCCAAATTCAGTAATCGCCGGCATGGTTCTCCGAGGTACAGCATTCGCGTTCCAGCAGGCGCCTTCTTCCACCGATAGCCGCGCCTCCTTGCAGTACTTGCCACCTGCAAACCCACTTCTGTCTGGTGCTTAGTAGCAATGGGGGAATGGATCCCTATAGTAGCCCCTATATAATCCCTAATAGTAGTCTCCCTTCTCCCCCATTCCCTACTAAGAACCAGACAGACTTGGCCAGGAGTGGTGGTGGATCGAGCAAACAACGGGTTTGCGGGTCTCGAGGCACATGAACCATACACTCATTGTACTTTCTGCTTCGGATTGCTGCAGGCCACTTTGTGGCCTTCAACACTAACACCCTAAACCCACCCAGGAGTCTATTGACCCTCCTTTTCGCATGTGCCAACTGCTTGGGCTCTGTAGAACATAGCATCTGAGACCTGCCGTTTAGTTTGCAGCAGCCTTTGCACTTCCTGTTGCTTCACCACATGTGCCTTCCCGCCCTATACGCTTGCATAGTGTGTCACACGCGTGCCAAAAGCAGTTCAGCATGCAGGTCGGCATTTGGGCATTTCGAACAGAAATCGGTGGAACGTGCGACTGGCACGATTCCGGAGAAGAAAGCCTGGATCCAGAAGTAAGGCTGTCGAATCATCATTGGTGTGTAGGGTTTAGGGATCTTCATGACATGTTCCGCCAGCCTGAAAACAGCCATCCGGAGTGGTTAGATGCGAAGCCCGCTCAACATTTCGGGTTTAAGCATTTGGCTCACCCAATTTATGATATGGCGCGGAGCTGCCATTCATGTGAGTGGTTGTCAAAATTAGGGTCCCGTTTTGGGTCCTTCATATAATACGGCACCTATTATCTAAACCACCCATGTGTGTTACTGGGAGTCTCCTTGGTCACATGCATTCAGCTCCCCTGCGCGTGATTTGTCAACAAGAGTGCCTGGCTCTGGACCATGGAGGATCCCCGTGCAACAGAATTGTATAGGGGGCCTTAAAAATTAGAATGGGGTGTCCTTTAAAGGGTTCCTTTTAAAGGGATCTATAAGGGCCACTTGGGCTACTACAAGGCTTTAATATAGGGGGCCTTAATAATTAGAATAGGGTTTTGGGGCCCATTATTCTATAATTATCAGAACGACCCCCCCCCCCACCAAGAGTATAGGTAATGATTAAGGCCCCTAGATTAGACAGGTTCCTGTCACTGTCACGGTGCCGGTGGCTGGGGCTTCGCTCCCTGCCTTCTCAAAACACGAAACAAACGACGGCCGACGAAAATGATGAAGCACAGAAGCATCAACAGCTAGGGCAGAGTGCTTCTCTATTGCCAGGGTCGAGCAGTTGGATTTCGGCCTGTCGGCTGGAGCAATCGCAGGACAGGCAGTAGCACTACTTGGAGCATCATGGGACTTAGTTGGTAAGCTCATAAGTGCGGTAACTAGACTTAGAACGACTTATTACCCCAGTTAAAGCACTTATAAAATTGCTGACTAAGTCGCGTGATCCTCCAAGTAGCAACGCTCATCGATGGTTGGTTCTGGTGCTTAAGAAGCGAGGTTTTGCGGCTTCGGGTTGAGAGTTGGGAGTTTCCCGAAAAGCAGGGATCCCTTGTTTTGGGGTCCTTGTAATAAGGATGCTACTATGTAGGGTACTATATTAGGGTCCCCTGGTTTCGGAAGCTGCCGGTTCGCGTTTCAGGGTCTACGTCATCCTGTGCTGCAAGGGCACGAGCCTACAGGCACGCTTGTAAATATCTGCATTACTCTGCAAAGCTTATTTTAGTCTGATCATTACAGCCCCTTTACTAAACCCTAGTAACGTGTATAGATCTCGTTTCAAGGAACCCTTTCAGGGGAACCCACCCTTATAATACACGCCCTATAATATACGAACCTCTATACTATACCTTTTAAGAGGAACCCTTTTAAAAGGATCCTCATTCTTACTGTTAAAGCCCCTATAACAAACCCTAGTGGGTACCTTTATAGATCCCTTAAAAAGGACCACCTTGTTCTAACCATCCAGGCCCCTAAGAGAAAGAGCCAAAGCCTAATTCCCCGCTGAAGGAATTGCAGCTGGCCTCGTAGTCTTCGTGGCGTCTCTCGTCGAAGGTTTAGAGCTCTAGCACTGTGAATGATTATTGCTCTCATTAATATCATGACTATGGTAGTAAATGGTACTGATACTACGATGATTGTTATTAGTACTGTTAATACTGCTGCCTGTACAATTGTTATTATTAGTGTTGGTCAGTACCACTACTATTTGTTCTTGTAAGTATTGTAGTTCAAGTATCAGTGGTATTATTGTTATCACTTCCATGATAATGTTCTTAGTACTACCATAACTATTATCAGGGGTAATATTGTTATTAATAGCATGTACCATTGGTCAATATTGGTCATGTCTCCCCAGAATCGGAGCAGAGGCATCGCAGTGGGAATGTCATGATAGACGGAAGCATACACACTACAGGGGCTTGATTGACTAGCACAACTATTATAGGGGCTCCTTTCTAGAACCAGATCCAAACCCCATAATAACTTAGGGGTACTTGGAACTAATTTTTAATTTATGATGATTATAATCCCTAAGAAACAGCTAACATTATAACTTTTGCTAGGGTTCTAAGTTCAGTATAGATAGTTGTTCAGGCCTCTACATTACACCAAGCACAGCGACTGCAAAGGACACTTCTACAGAGCATCCGCCGGCCGATCGAATTGTGAAGAACGGTGCTGTGCTGGGAACTTCCGAAAATAGTGGACCCTAATATAGTATTCTAAATGGTAGGATCCTTCTTATAAGGACCCTTATAGTAACCCTTTAAAGGGTCCCTTTAAAGGTACCCCCAAAATATGTGGACAGAGCCGAGGGCCATCGCTTGCGGACTCGTCTTCTTCCGCTGGAAGGTCGTCAGAAAGTTTGACGCTCGACTGTGAAGAGCCCAGAGTAAGCCCTTCCTTATTTTGGGGTCTATGCTTTAGGGTTAGGGTACCTTATTTTGGGGTTTAGGGGTTTATAATAATATTTAGGAATTTAGGGTACTATACTCAGGAAGTTTGACGCCCGACTGCAAAGAGCCCATTGGGGCTTTCCCGTCCTCCTGCGTCATGGTAGTCGTATCTCCTGTTCTCTGATTTTCCAACACATGACCGGGCTGGTGCCACAGCAAGCAAGTTGTGGGGAAGTCAAATCCGTCCGTGTGTTACCGCACTTTCATGGATTCCCAATTCCCAATAGCCGGGACTTTGAAGAGTTCCCCGGCATTCCGGACCCAAAACCCCCCAAAACCCCTAAAACCCAAACCCGAAAACCCTTGAGCCAGGACCGAAGTTGTAGAAGAAAAAGTCCGAAGCGCTCTTCAAACCCGAAACCCCGAAATCCCAGAACCGACCCTCGGCGTGCAATGCCAAGGAAGACCACCGAGTGAAGCCTGAAGAGGGAAGCACGCCGAAGGCCAGAGAAGGGGAGCGAGGAAAGCTGATTATGAGATATTGTCGTATCTGAGTATATGAGAGTATGTACCAGTATATTGAGAAGTATCTGATGGTATATCGAAGTATATTACAGTATATCAAGGTACATGTTACTATATGAATGTCGTATATACGCGGTAGATCAACGTATTTGATATTGTAGACTATTATAGCAAAGAACAGAGCACTTCCCGCAGCGAGTGTGAGCTCGAGCGGATCGCCGGTCTAAAGCCTCAAGCTTGTACGATTCCAAATGCCACCGAACCCGAAATCTAAAATCTTAGGCCCCGAACCGTGATATGCCCCAAACCCGTAGCTTGCGGGGAGAACTGCTTGCGCAGTTCATGGTGTAGGGCCGGGCCAATAAAGGGGTCTGAAGACTTAGGACCAATACTCGCGTACGGTCTCCGTTACATTCTAGTGATCGATACCCCCAAGCTTGTTCTAATGGTAAACTCGCTAGATTAAGGTGTAAGGTCTGTTGGTAATACAATATGCTATAATATAATATAATATAATATAATATCATATACTATGATATAGTATAGTGTACTATAACTTCTCTGGAGACTCCAACTTGCGAGGCTTCGCAAGTGCAAACGCTTCACAACGACGCGGCCGCTCGCTGCAAGCTTCAGAAGCCAAGCCTGGTGTTTTGGTTGCTGGGTATCCTAGTAGTAGAGTAGCTAACCTTTAACCTTTTTTGGATAGTATAGCCCCTATATAATCCCTATATAACCAAAAAGGTTAACCTTTAGTTCTTCATGATACCCGACACGTAGGGTATATGCCAAATTAGGGGTGGGTTTAGGGCTCGCTGCAGGAAGCCAAGCCTGTAGCCAAGGAACAGTGTACAATTACTGTGGGATCTCTACCAGAAAGATGCGTTCCCTGTAACAGGTGTAAACACGGCTTCGGCTTACTAGTTTCCAGGCTGAGAAACCGTCTAGGTTGCCTAAGTAAGGAAAGCGCACGTTTGAATTTGTGCTCTACTTTGCGCTCTGCATCCCTAATATGCAGCGTAGGATCAAATAGCCGTGGAAATCTCGCAGCCTGAAGTCTTAAACCCTGAGACCCTGCGGCTTGCCCTCCCCAACCCCTCTAACAACCCGTGAGAACAATGGAGCCTCACTCAGCCGCTCCCGAAGTTCGCAGGCCTCTCCTACGATGGGGTTCATATAGGGTCTCCAAGGGCCACTATAGCTTCAATTAGGAGTTACTTTCTGGTCTGTAATACTGGCTTTAAAGAAGCTCTTGGCAAGGAAGCGTAGCGACATGATCCAGTTTCGGGGTAGGCCTTATGAGCAGAAACGTGGAGTTGCTGCATAGCACACTGTCAGATTCCCCGGCGGGATGCTGGGGAGCCGTAATCACCATAAACCCCCAACCCGCAATCCAGAACTCGTGCCGTGCAAGGATGGCGTAGGGCTTTAGTGTTTGGGCAGGTGTGTGTGCGTGTGTTTGCTACTGGGTGGGGGGGGGGGTTATCAGTACGCTAACCTCAAACCAGGGTTGTTACAGACGTCACCATCCTTGAATTGAACCCCGACACCCGCACCAACTTGCTGAGTCCCTGATCTTGAAGTGGTTGCTACAGCGTTTACCAAGAAAACCCTAAACCCTAAACCGATAAACCCCTAAACCCCTAGCCCCTAAACCCTAAAGTAAAATGCCAAGGAGCACTTGCCAAGCAACGAGCGCTTTTGGGAGAGGGCCCTGGTCCGTTCGAAGGCAGGAAAGCCGCCCCTGAAAGTGTAAGAGGGACCCAGAGAGCCCAATACCCCTTAATTAAGGAATATACCTATAGGGTTCCTTTAAAAGGGATTTAAAAGGGATCTATAAGGGATCTATAGGGATTAGGGTTTCCGATACCCCTCAATTAAGGAATATGGCTTAAATTAGAATATGAAGCCCCTTATAATTTAAGCCATATTCCTTTATTAAGGGGTATTGGGCTCTCTGGGGATTCAGGGCTTAGGGTTCAGAGTTGAGGGTTTGAGGCTCCAGGGTTTTCGGAGTTTAGGGCTTTAGGGTTTCATGGCTCCGTCTTTCAGAATTCTGGGCAGCTCGGGAGATCGGAAGGAGTGGTTGCACAGCTTCTGCCGGCAGCATCACCTCAGCCACCATTCCTGCTACAACCACTCCATATGAAGAGAGTTATTGCCGACCGGCTACGCTCCAGGAACGAGATACTTGAATCTGAAAGCCTACAACTCCTACGACTTCAGGAAGATCTCGCGGAAGCGGAAGCAGACGAACTGGAGGAGCGCTTGCGATGCCCCCGCTTCTGGCGGACGTCCCTTGCCTGGCCGATGTCGTTTAGGGTTTAGGGTTTAGCTCCCCCGAAGAAATGCAGATTTTCCAACATACGAGAACTAAGGAATCAAGGAGCAAACGCCCTTAACCCTGATCCCTAGAAGCCCGAACCCTGTAACGGCTCGACACCCAAGCTTCAAACCCTGAAACGCCTCTACGGCAAACCTTGATCCTAGACCTTGATATGCGCAGACCATAAGAATTGCGCCCTAAACCCCACGCAACTCCAATCCTCAGAACCGTTATCCTGAAACTCCAAAACCCTAAACCTTACGACCCTACACCTCCAAACCCGTAAAAGGCATACAGAGAAACAACAAAACTGAGCCTGTGAGGAGCTTCCAGGAACCATCCACTCTCATCATGGCTCTCGGCCGGCTCCTTATTATGAGCTAAATGCCATGAATGAATGTATGTGTGCATATATATATATATATATATATAGAGCTAGTGAAAAACGTAGGAAAAACTATATGTAATAGATCGGCTTCGTGGGGCTTTATGCTCCTTTCATATAAGCTAAATGCGATTCAAGAATCGGATCTTCAAGCGATTGTAGGGTGGTTCCATGGGATGATTTTGCACGGGCTTCTTGACGGTGTTGCAGTGGCTTTCAGCAAGTAAATAGTAACTCCATTCCGCGCGATTCCTTGCAAAAGTTGCAGCAAAGATCTACATCTTCGGGCTTCTGTTGTGTGCATCAGCCTTACACCCGCACATGAGACAGAGGCTCTCCTTAATTAAATACCTTAGAGAGGGACGCTGGTTATGATTTGAGGGGAATTGGGGGTTCAGGTGCGCAAGTTTAGTATACTTGCAAAGCCCGGACAGCCCTTGATTAAGGAAAAGGCTCACTTGTGGAGTGTCGGGGACAGTAAGTAGGTAATAAATACACTTATAAGTACCGTAACAGGGATCATAATTGGGGATATGATACGTATAAGTCTGTAAGAATAGCTACTTACTGGGTCCCCCGACCCTCCTGGCAAGCTGCAGAATTGGGGATCCAAAAAGCACATAAGCATAAGCATTCTATAGGGATATCCCTACCTTAATGGGCTTCATTATAAGGGGGTTTGGGTTTATATGGGATATCCCTGTCCTCATTTTTGCTTATGTGCCTTGTTGGGGCCCTACAGAATCGCCCCGGAGGCTTCATTGCTTGCGGACTGAGGCGGCCATCGAATGCTTCCAACTCCGAGACCAACCAGAGGCCGTGCCAATGGGTTTCCGGTTTAGGGTCTTATAAAGGGGTCTATAAGGGTTACTATAAGGGATCTATAAGGGTACTATAGTAATATACAATATACTTAATAATCCTGTTGGCATCCATGCAGGGCTTAAGGGTTTAGATTTGTGGGGTACATACTCTGCTGTTAGAATCAGGAACCTGCGTTAAGGTTTAGGGGTTTAAGGTTTAGGGGTTCCAGGTTTAGGAGTTAAGGGTTAGGGGCTTGGGCTACGGGTGTGGGGTTTGGAAAGAGCATTTGCAGGGTTGTTTAACTCTTGTTGTCTAAGGGTTCGTAGGGGCATGTAAAGGGTTTTGCAAGGGCCTTCGAGCAATTGGATAATAACATTGTTCCGTGGAATTCCTAGACAAGACCGACTTCTTCAGGTTTCTCTCTATAGTACGAAACATCCTTATGTTACAGAGGGGTGCCGGTTATGAGTTAAGGTGCATGAGCTCTCTGGTTCTGCAAAGCACATGCAGGCAACAGCTCCGCCACGAAATCACAAAGGAAGTTGTGCACAGGATAGTGCTACAAGCCCTGTCAGCCCTTAGTTCAAGAATACTCAAGCCAAGCTACTGATATGCTGTTCGACTACTGGTGAGAAGTACTCTGTTGACCACTCTAAGGTCCCCTTATTAAAACTGAATATTAGGACAAGGGTACCCTTATCACTATGGGACTATTCAGGAACCTAGTTCATAATCCTTAAATTATAGGATTTTGGGTTTGCGCACTACTGAGGCGGCCATCGAATGCTTCCAACTTCGAGACCAACCAGAGGCCATGCCAAACCATCAGTGCAGCGTGCATTGTAATATAGGGCCTAAATTACCAATACTATTTTGGGGGTTCCTTATTATAAGTGCATTTTCATGGGCCCCCAAACCCTATTCAAGTTGTTAAGGCCCCTTTTTTAAGGGTGCGTGGTTTAGGGGTTGAGGTTGGGGTGCAGAAGCTTCGGTCCATGCAGCAATGCAAGACTTTTGCGCTCCAAGCTCGTATCTGGTAATTTTGTCAAGTCTAAGTTGGATTTTGGGACACTTTTTTATTTTCCTTATTTAGGTTTATAAGGGACCCTATATATAATTTGTTTCATGGTGTTTAAAGGCCAACCCAGAAGTTTGATAGACATTGTTTGTTTGTTCCGCCCGGAGTCTTCTCGTTGCATCCTGCCCGGTATATTCATCCTTCACCAAAACCCTCAGCTTCAAGACCGATCTCTCATATGAGAGTTTTTGAACACAAGAGGTACCCAATAGTCGATTTGAACCCTCAATGCTGGGAGCCATGGATTTGCCAATGAACCCTGAGCCCGCTGTAAGTAAAGATTAACCTTTTTGGTTATATAGGGATTATATAGGGACTATACTACCCAAAAAAGGTTAAAGGAAACCTACTCTACTATTAGGGATGTGCTTTGTCAGGCGTCCTTCCAATGCATCGAGCACAGCACCGGTTGGACGAGTGAGGCAGGAACCGTTGGAGTCCTCAAGACCCTTTCTGTAGGTCGGCGGTGTCCTTATAAACCCCAACCGCTAAACCGTCAATAAGTTATAGATTTCCACTTCCTTCAAACAAAAGGTGCAATAAATCTAGTTACTTGGGCTACAAGTTGAGGTTGGGATATGGGCCACTGAAAATGGCTTAGGTCCTGAGTCTTCAGCTCTCCACAGGGGTGTTGGCAGTCGTTTAGGATGAAGCAGCGGGTGTCCTTTTCCTGCTGCCGCATGCACTCTTAGAATTGTCGTGAAGAGTTGTTAATGGATCCAAGGTTTTAATTTTTGGAGTTTGGGGTTCTGGGTGCTACCATGGGGACTATATAATTACTTATACCTTATTATAATTGCAATACAATGAACCCCAAAACCCTATTCTAACTGTTAAGGGCCCTTTATTACTGTGTGCAGCTTACGGGTGCGAGTTGAGGGTGTAGAGATTGCTGGCTTGGACATGTGCGCATCCGCTTGCGTGTTTTGCCAAGCGGCACCTAGGCCGTGTGTTCTTTGGCCAAGATTAAGCCCAGAGATCCCATTACCCCTTCATGAATTCAAAGTGCTTATATCACGATATGGCGTCCTAAATATTTCAGCTAAGGTTCCTTAACCAGGGGATACCCTAAATCCTAAAACTCAAATATGTCAAGGGACGTTTCTTAACCACGGCATGCCTTTGCTTGAAATCCAGGCACAAGTCAAGTTGGGGTCCACAACTGCCTCGTGACGAAGCCTGTAAGTGACGAGTGCAGTCCTAAGTAAGGGTATAGGGTTTAGAGTCTGGGGTTTACAGTAGAAGCCAGAAAGTTGGAATATCATTATCGTAACCCCTTTAAGGTAAATTATAGGGGATCCTACCATTAATGCATATTCCAACTTTCTGGAGTTCCCTTTAGGGGTTAGTAAGGCAACTGCGACCCAGTTTCACGAAGTTTTCACATGGCGAGAGGGAGATGAAGTTCCTCTGACTTGACCGGGCAGGAATGAGTCCAAGCAAAGCTCGCAAAATTCCAGGCGGGAATTGAGCTATAATGGGGGGGGGGGGGGCCGTAATAATTACCTATACTATGTTGGGGGTTCCTTATGCTAATTACAGTATCATGGGCCCTAAAACCCTGTTCTAATCATTAAGGCCCCTATATTGCGATTTAGGGCTTAGGGTTTGGGTTTAGGCTATAGGAAGCTATGATTTAGGACTGAGGGTTTAGGGTTAGTGGAGGTTTGGTTCAGGGGTGTTGGTTGCTGGCGAGAAGATGGTGAGATGTCTCAGTTTTTTCTTGTCTCCCGGAGTTTCGTGTTTGCGGCTCCACGAACCTTGTTTCTGGTCTGTGTCTGCTCTAGTTTTCGGTGCCGGTCATGCAGGAAAGAGTCAGAACAAGCATGAGGGCTGAGAAACCTGTGTACATGCTTGCCACCAAGATGTGAAGTGCAACGTTGGCGCGGGTGCCTTCGCTAAAGCTTCCTGCAAAGATGTTGAATGTGGGGAGTTTCCGACAATAGCGGACCCTAAGAAATTTAACCTAAATAGTAGGATCCTTAATTTCAGGACCCCAAAGTAAGGTACCCCTTGTTTTGGGAAACTCCCATGGCTCAAAGGCAGGCCTCCGCCGCTGCCTCCTTTTAGCACCCACTTGGGAGTTTCCGCACATTAGGGGTGCCTCTGAGGCTTCCTTAAAGGAATCCATAAGGTTCTATAAAGTGTTTAGGGTTTGTACCTTACTTTGGGGTCTTCATGATAAGGATCCTAGTATTTAGGGTACTATACTAGGGTCCCCTGTTTTCGGAAACTCCCAGTTCTTGCCAGGCGCCCTTCGAGAAGCACTGACGTGGTGCAGTTTTACAGCAATGAGCAGCCAGCTCAGCAGCAGTGGCCGTCAGTGTCAGCATGCTGTGCATCGTGCAGGTTGCGGGTTTGAAATCAAGACCCATGTGCAGCGAGCCACTATTCAATACAGCGAGTCACTATACAATACAATTGAAGAGACACCGGTGACAGGGTTCTTCTTACGGAACATAGTTTCAGTTGCCTTACTCAGACGTAGAATATAACGTAGTAGCTTGTTTGCGTTCTCTTCTTCTCGAAATGTTTAAAGCCGTAACAAGCACCTGGCAGCACTTGCAAGGCCACGTCGGCCATCCAATGTATCTGCACTTGGCACTGGCCCGGCACTGAGGAACCATAGCAGAGGATCGCCGCAGTCGATGGCAAACCAGCTGCTTTAAAAGAGTACGACTCCTACAGTACGACTGTCGAATTCCGCTTCAACAAGACAGGGTGCCAACCTTGAAAATTCACAGAAATGGGTAATGACAACCCAGCAGCCGCAGTTCTCGATCTTGAAAAGGTTCGGGCTCATCATGATTAGTTATGCGCAGTACTTATACCACTGCTTTGAAGCCCACGTTGAACTACAGCCAAAATCATAAAGTCCTGAACCTGACACCCTAAACAGTTCAAAACCCAATTCTGAATTTGAATTTGAACTTCCTAAGCCCCAACCCTCCATTTCCGGAATTCTACAATCGAATCCTTAAACTCCTGAACACAATTGTTCGAAAAGAGCATCGGAATTCGTAGTAAACTTCCAAAAGCCTCTCAGAATAGGAAACAGCGAAACCCTCCCTTGAAACCCGGTCGAAAGCTCGCTAGCCTCAGTTTTCAACCTTAAGTATGAGATTCCTGCAAGACACTGCAACGCAACTCGTGGACAAAACCAAAGCATTGGAGGATCCCAGGGGCTGCGCAGTGCCGGCTTGGCCGGCAAGCTCCAGGCAGAGAAGCGTCGGCGGGCTTGGGTGTACAAGTACCTGTGGCCCAAAAGACCTACTTTTTTTGAGGAACTATGTATAGAAATCATAATAAGGAGCCCTAAAATGGGTGGTTGTCAAAATTAGGGTCCCTTTTTGGGTCCTTATTATAATGCGGCGCCTAATATTTAAGGTACCCAAAAAGGGACCATAATGTTGACAACCACCCAATTATAAATTAGTAGCTGGGTGGATACACGTTACACTTTTTGGGGTGATACTACCCACTATAAAACTGAAAGTGTACACTCTTTGGGGCTTTTGAACTCAGCAACTAAGATAATCAAGAACCTTGAGGAACCCAACTCCGACAAACACTATAATTCCATCTAAGCTCCATAATCGAACGCCTGGAAAGACTACTGATACAGGGCCTTAATAATTGGAATAGGGCTCCGGGGCCTTTTTAATCTAGTCATAAGAAGGAACCCCAACCTAGTATAGGTGATTATTAAGGCTCCGATTTTAGGGATTACGGTTAAAGGCCTTAATCAGGAGAGTGGGGTTCCAATCAGGGTTCCTTGTGCGGTGTTGGAAAGTGAGTCCCAGAACACATGAGCAGGCACCAGGCGACGGCACCCAGAGTGCCAGTATTGGCGAGAGGCGCTTTGGGTGCGCTGATCGGCATCGCATCACTCAAGGACAGTCCTTGCGAGCATTTGCTGTAGGCGGCCTTCGAGAAATTCGCATGGAGCTTCGCCGCGGCCTCCGCGAGAAACGTCACCATCGCGTTCTTTGCCTCAGGAACATGAACCCAGATCTTCTAGCAGACCTCATTTTTTCGAGGGAGTACTCTTTGGACTTCTTCCTCTATCTGGGCTCCCACATCCTTCACAATTCCTGAGTCTTCTTGCTTCGAAAAAGTGTAAGATCTGGGAAGGGCCACGGGTTTTGAACACCAGCTTGCAGCTGCAGGTGTTGTGCACGAGACTACCCTCGAGTGATTGGGTAAGAAGAAAGCGTCATTCCCCCCAGTGCCTGTTGCTTTTTCCAGATGTGGGAGTTTCCGAAAATGGGGGACCCCAATATGGTCCCCAAATAGTAGGAACCTTATTGTAAGGGCCCCCAGAAACTCTAAACTGTAAAGACCCTTATAGAGCCCTTTAAAGCAAGCCTTTAAAGGAGCCCTAAGGTACCCCTACTACTCCCAGATTCCAAGGGTAAAAGGAGGGACCCTTAATAAGGACCCCTAGGTATATACCCTTAATACAGCTATTTTGTACCCTTTATATAGCCCATTATAGGGTAGGGGTCCCCATTAAGGGTCCCTCCTTTTCCCCTTTGACAGAAAACAGGCGGAGAACAAGGGCTCTTTGACTCTTCGAGACTCTTGGAGGCCTCCGTAGCCCAAAAGACCTTCCTTTTTAGGGCTCCCTATCATGATTTCTATATATAGTTCCTTAAAAAGGTAGGTCTTTTGGGCCACAGGTACTATAGGGGCTTAAAATAATTACCAATACTAGGTTTTCTCTTTTGTTTGGTGGGGGCTCCTTCTTTTAATGATAGTATAATACATCTCCAAAACACTATTTTTGTTTTTTCGGGTGGTCCTTATTATAATGATGGTATATTACATCTCCAAAACCCTATTCTAGTTATTAAGGCCCCTATATACAGCCCTTATAAAGTAACCCTTACAGACCCCTTTTTAAGAACCCTTAAGAGGAACCCTATTCTAATTATTACTGGGCCCCAAAACCTTACTTTAACTATCAAGGCCCCTACACTAAAGTCTGAAAATAGCCCTTATAGTAGCCCTTGTAGACCCTTTAAAGGAAGCCTATTCAAAATTTTCAGGTCCCTATAAGAGGAGATTTCAGCGCCCCCCGGTCTTTCAGTGCTTGGAGGATCACGGGAACTTAGCAAGTAAGGTTATGAGCACCTTAATTGGGACTATACACAGTTATAAGTATAGTTACCTTAATTATAATCCCACTTACTAAGTCCAATGATCCTGCTGTGGAGCTTCTGGTAGCGGCCGTGGGTCTTGTCTTGTGAAGCATCTGACAGCCAGCACGAGCCATATATCCTGCTATTACTAGACTCATGTTATTATACTGTCACTATGTTGTATGGTATTCTAATATTACTATGTTGCATGTTCTTTTACTCTTGTAGTTCGTGATACACCATATTACTGAGGCTTCTTGGAGGGGAGCCAAGTGCTACGCGAGGAGGCGGAGAGCATGGCGGCCAGTCGGCGCCGGGCTTACCGGAGATTCAAAGCCTGAGGGGACAGTACCCAAAGATCCCAGAATCCCTTAATTACGGCATATACCTTAAATATTAGGGGCCTTAATTTTATGATTGGAAGTATATTCCTTACTTGAGGAGTATTGGGATCTCTGGGTAGTTGCCCCCCACACAGTCGGGTGCAGTCAGCTTCTGGTTGCGACCGCATGGCTGCATCATTGCAAAGAAGCATAGTCTAGCAGAAGGGCTAACCCTCGGAACCTTATATTGAGACAGGCCGACATGATGGAGCGCACGTTTACACAGCTTTCCTGACGCCATCAGGAGAGCAATGCTGGGTTTGGGCCCGGCTCAGCTGGGACCCCAGCGAACCCAAACCTAGCCCCAGCGGTGGCCATTTCCTCAACATGTCCATTGACCGTTCAGTCCAGGCAGTTTGATTGGAAGAAGTTTTGTGTTAAGACCAACTACGCGTCTCAAGGCCTCCGAAGCCGCACACGGTTGGGAGTTCTCGTCAGTCCCCAAGGCAGGGCCCTTTCTCACACTCGCTCAATAACAATTGCGTTCTTTTGCACGCATTCATGCTGCCCTGTCCTGCGTTTCGGACTCGGACTGCAGAGGGATGCCTTTTCACTGGGCAGGCCGATTGCCACGTGAACTTCTGAACCGCGCTTTGCAGGGAATGTAGAATACCTACGCTGCACAGATGAAAGCCATTGAAAGCAAGTGCGAGCTGGGAACACTCCAAGAGCACTTTCACACGCCTGAACCCCGCCTCTCGCCATGACCTCTCGAGTTTCCCAGGGGGGCCCGTGTCGGCAAAAATCAGTACTTGGAGGCCCTTTTGACTTAGTAAGTAGGGTTAGCAAGGTGGGTTATGGGGATTTTAATGGGGTTTCTAGGGGATACTAAGTAGACTTACTAAGTCAAAAGGGCCTCCAAGTAGTTTGGGCTGACGCGTTTTGTTGCAAGTGCCCTTCCAGGCGGGCAGGGCGGGCTTTCGAGCACAGGGCCCACTTGGAGGGTCGGGGGACTTAGTAACTGGTTATTTTAGGGACTTATAAGTACCATAACCCCAATTAGGGTTCCTTTTAGGGTACTAATAAGTCTACTTACTACCTACTTACTAAGTCCCCCGACCCTCCAAGCAGGTGTTATTCCTATGAACCGGGAGTTTCCGGAATGTCCATTTGGGAGGTTTGGCAGAATTAAAAGACCTGGGTTAGAGGGTTTTCTGCTTTTCTTGTCAAGATCCTTAATCGAAACGGCTACTGAGTATTCACTAGTCTTCCAAGCAACACTGCGACATGCATGTTAAGCATGTAGAGCAATCTTTCCTGTGTAGCATAGGGGCCTTCTTAATCAGAACAGGGTGCTGGGAGCAACAAGGAACCCCAAAATAGTATTGCGCTAAGAACATATCGAGTTTCACTCAGGCCATGAGTCCCACACCACTAAACTCCTAAGCGCTACACACACCCTTTGCAAGCTCTATGTTGTCTCCGGAGGATTTAAGCCGCCATGTCCAAGCCGGAGGCATCAGGACGGCCTGTTTCCCTCCAACCGCTTATTATGGGCTTGATGGGCTCAGGATCTAAATTATAATGAGGGTCTGTGAAATTATGGGTGGTGGAGTATAGGGGCCTTAACAATTACCTATAATATTTTGGCGGTTCCTTACTATGTATATAGTATAATGGGCCCCAAAACCCTTTTCTAATTATTAAGGCCCCCATAGTAATCCTTTCAGCGCTGTAGCGCCCGCGATTCAACCTGGGAGTGGAAAGCAACTCTGACGCTTCCCATGCGACATCGTTGTTAGAGCTTTCGCCGCTATGCTTGCCTCGCACCAACGATTGCCGACGCTGCTGGCTTAATATGGGCGACAAAATCATTACCAAAACTATTTTGGGGGGTCCTTATTTATTGTAAGTTTCGTATAATGGGCCCCAAAATTTCAAAACCCTACCAAAAAATTAAGGCCCTATATTCTGTTGATATGTTTGTCATGATGTGATGAAACCTAAACTCCTAACGCCCTAAACCCTAAGCCCTCAACCCTGATAATGCCGCAGCAGGAGCTCCTTCTCCATGCCGTCTCATGGCGGCGGCAGCAGCAGCAGTCAAAGTCGGGGGCCACCGACCATCAGGATACTTTGTCCTTCGTGCCTAAAAGAGCATTTAGTACAAGGGGGTTGGTTTAGGTCAACAGGTCTGACGCTTCGAGTGCTGTTTGGGGTGGTATTATTTGAAGGGCCTTGAGAATGAGCGCTTAGGGTATGAAAGTTCAGGTGCTTGTGAATAAGGGCATTCGTAACTTTAGTAGAGTTTGGGAATTGACAAGAATGGAGTCGATTCGATGGCCATCGCATGATTGACGTGCCATATGTTTTTTGCAGTCTTGGCGATATTGTCAGATGGAGCAGAAAGCTCTTGCTTATGCTTCCGAGCCGGAGGGGCACGTGGGAACAAGGATGGCCTTGGCCATGCTATCATTGACACAGAGCTTTGGGGTTCCTTTTAAAGGGTACCATAAGGGTTCCTTTCAAGGGATCTATAGGGTTTAGGGTTTCTAGGGTTTTAGGGTTTAGAGATATAATCTAGGACCCAGAGTAGGCCCTTAGTCCCTTTTTTAGGGTTCAGGTGCCCTTATAAGCCCCTAAGCCAAAAAGGGCACCCTTTTTATTCCTAGGTTACTCTTAGGTCTAGTTGATCGGATTGCATATGATTGCATGGCCGGCATGACAACACGTGGATTATGACTAGTTTTATTATCATTATTCACATCATTATGCACCATCAAACTCAAACCCTCCAAACCCTCACCCTCCCTTAAAACCCCGATTGAAATCCTTCTGAAACGGCAAACAGACAGACAAAGTCAGTCTCTCTGGTTTAAGCCTGTCTTGTCGAGGACCTGAGGATGGCGAGTCGATGCCTTAGTGGCCGTGTATGTGTTATTAGGGGGGGGGTCCGTTAAAATTAGGGGTATGTAGTCTTCTTTTGGGGGTCCTTATAATAAGGATCCTACTATTTAGGGTACCATATTAGGGTCCCCTGTTTATTTTCGGAAACTCCCTTTCGGTGCTCCGTGTTCCCCCTCGTCCCAGCCCCTGCGCACCCTGAAGGCAAGAACAAGCGAAACGCACCTGTTTGCAAGGTTTTGTGGTGTTCTGCGAAAGGTGAGATCGGGTTGGAGACATTCTTTAGGTGTTCTGCTGGTCAGATTAAGGCCACCAGAAGAAGCCTTCTCTGGGATCACGTCAAGCCGGCCTGTTTTTCTGGCAGAAGCATTTGCTTTCGAAGAGCGGGCGGCAGCTACAGGCTACCTGCCAAGTCCGCACTTGACTTGAAGCAAGAAAGGCTCTCTCGGATTCTTGCTGCAAACTTCGACGAGTTGGAAAGAAGAATCGTTTTGTCGAAAGGCTCATTGGCTGCGTGACGACGTACCGTCCTGTCAATGGCTACGGCATGGTGAAAAGTGCGCGGCTGCAAGAAGCGGAGCAGCGGGTGTCGCCTTGCCTGCCCTGCGGCCCTTTCAGGTCATCTGTTCGAGGGCGAGCTGATGTTCAGGATAGATCGAATCATGCCGGAGTTTCAGGTCGGATCCTCGGACTTCGAATTCGATTGTGTCAGGATTTCTTATGCATACAGATGCCACAGCACGTCCAGGCTCATCCCCTTCATGAGAACGATCGAGTCGAGTAGCACCCTTGGTTTCATGTGATCGCATGTAGGAAAGGCCCACGCTTGATTGGACATGTTGTTGCCGCCCTGGAAGTACTGAGCTGAGGTTCGATGTTCAGGCTGACGAGAGCGGCAAAGCTGTGGCCGTAGCTGTAAAGCCGGTCCTGGACAGAAAGCCACTGGCTCAGCTTGGCTCGCGTTGTGCAGCGAGAATGTCCATCGTCGTCCCATGTTCTCTGGCTTTCCTATACGAGGGCCACTGCCTCGAGTCTTAGTGCCAGAGGCCATACGATGTTCTTGGACAGCGGCAGCGGGGCTACGTAAGGCGTGTGGCCGAGGGCCTGGGCCTCTGGAGACCCCTGGAGCCTCCTCTGCGCAGTCGGCTTCTCACCGCAGGTTGGGGCTTCCTCAATGCCGCCGCCTTTGACGGAGACCTCTGCGTTCACCGGGACAACCTCTTGCTTGAGACCGGCGCTAAGAGTCTCGCAGGTTGGAGGTGTGAGGCACGTGCACACGCTGCTGTGTACCCAACTCACGTATCCTTATGCTCCCATACATCAGGCCGGGTTCTGAAGCTGGTTCCGATGGCCAGCCGATCCTCAGAACGGCCTGGATCTCACCCGTCGCTACCCCCCAGCATGTCGTATCGCGTGTATTCCTGTCCCGGCTGTGCTGTTTTTTTGCCTGGCTATCCCCACCGCGACTGTGTTTTGCTGCCATCCCTAGCTGCGCTGCTTTTGCTACCCTGACTGCTCCCTGCAACCGAGGGGCAAGTTGTGGAGTTTGACGTTGCCGTGGATGATCGTGGAAGGGCGGTCCGCAGCTTGGTTTGCGGCACTATGCGCGCAATTGGGCAATGGGTAGCCATCTGCTAGCTGCTAGCACGGCTTCTGCCGCATCATGTGAAATCCGTGCCTTGAGGTGGCGAAGCAACTCACCGCACGAGCTTTGCTGAGACCCTGCGATTGGATTGGCCACAGGCCTAAACCCTAAACTCTAAACCCTAAAGCCTAAAACCCTAAACCCTAAACAGAGAATCGCGTACGAACTCTTGCAGGTTGCGCGGGTACATCCGATCTTTCAACGGCCATCGGGCACAAGAGCCAAGTTATACTCTGCAAGCGATCGCGTGTGAGATCCTGACCACCGTCAGCACATGAATGAGGCCTTTGGCTTCATCAACTCCGACATATTTGCTGGGGATCTCTTCGTGCACCGTCACTCCTTGCTGGTCGGCTTAGCACAATGACAGTAGTAGGTTCGACTGAAACCTGGAAAAGTCGCTCTTTGCTAGGCGCAGTGCCAGAATGCGCAGCTGGGCCGGAGTACGGTGGTGGAGTTCGACATCGCACGAGATTCTCACCCCAAGGGAGCAAAGAATCGAGTGGTGGCAAGGACCACTTCAGTTGATTTCTGTTAGGATGAGGCGCCAGGGGTGTTTCGATGCATCTTTTGCAGTGGCAAGGAACGTGGCTGTTCTCGGTCCCCCGGAGGCGGCTGTTTCCTCGTGGCAATCGTCACAAACAAATGATTTAGCAGTATCTCTTGTGCAGGCTGCTGCAGTGCTTCTGCAGCGGGCTCATCGAAGATTGTTCGTCTTGGTTGTGCTTTTATCACGGTGCAGTTCTTGCAGGCCAGCACCAGCACTCCAGTCGGCTGCCGCACATGCAGCGATGTCAGAGACCACACAGCCGGCTGCAGAGCCCGCAGCTCTGCAGGCCCATTTCTTCTGTTAACAGTGTGGTGACGCTTGCTGAAAGTAGTCTTTGTTCCTTCATGGTGCTTTCCTTTCTTTCGTTCATGTTGGGCTTGAATGACTGGTAGCATACATTGGGAGCAGACGAGGACTGGCACTAATCGTCTCTTGACTTAGAGTGTGCAACAATCTCGGAATGCAATGCACATTCTCAATCGAGTTGAAATTCAAGACTTGCTTGTGGACCTAGCCGAAGTTTGCTCTGCTCAGTTTGTCGTGCTTAGCCGAAAAAGTCACAAAGATGTGCCAGTGCTGATCCGAACTTCCGACACGGATGAGCCGATGCGCCCGTTGTGATCACGCAAGATGGGAGGCGCCCTCGGAGTCTGGCACCGGGTCCGAAGCTGGGAGCTGAGGTTTTTTGAGAGTCTTGAAGCATCTTGAACACCAAAGTTTCAAAGCAGAGTAAACAAGCATTCTGAGAACGAACCAACGAACGAAGCTGCGGAAGGACTACTAGGAGCAAAGCTGCTGCATGAGTCATACTCAAGCATTCGGTGTGCGTTGTTGTGGCGAGGTGGCTGGGGAGTCGACAGGCCCACAGGCTGGGTTTTCATGTCGCTTAACGTCCAGCACAGGAAGACACTTCAAGTTCACGGGGCTCTCACATATCCAGATGCCGTGAGGCAGCGACAGGTAAGCTCGAACCACAAGCCCTGTAGTGCTACGCACCCCGCAATTTTTAATAGTGTCTGTCACTTACCTCGTCAAGGCATTGAAGGCCTCGAGTTTCGAGGTTGAGGGGTTAGGGCTTTAGGGCTTCTTAGTTCTAGGGCGTTGGGAGTTTTAGGGACGCGGGGTTTTAGGGTCTGCAGCGTTCTGGGGTCTTCAGGGCTGGGTGCTTTTTCTCTTGGAAACTTGAGAATTCAGCTCTGTCGCAGGGTTTGTAAACCCACCAACACCCTAAGCCCCATAAACTCAAGTCTTGAATCTCGAAACAGATACCTCTATGCCAAGGCCATGGATTGCATGAGTCAGTCATACATCAGGTTTTGGTATGGGGCTTTCATCTGACTCTAGGGGTTGAGGGATCAGGATCTCGGGCCGGGGGACGGATCGGGAGTGCTCATTTCCCGTACCCGCATGATCAGGATCTCGCGATGGGAGGTGTGATTGAGCTTCAAAGCGGCTTGTGTCCGGGAAGAGCAGCATGTCGCATGCCTTAAAAGCAAACGCGGCACGCGGGGGTTCCACCGGTGCATGGGGTGTGCTGCGGGCCGGGGCGAGGTTCCACAGGGTGGCTCGCGATACGGTGAAAGTAAGCCACAATTGGGAAAACTCGCTCGTGTCACTGCTCGTGAGATGTGCTTTGTGGATGGTTTTGGGGTTCCCGGGTTGACCTTGTCTTTTTTCCTTGGTTTGGGTGTGGGAGAAGGGAGAATGGCTTCATATACTAGTGTTGTTTTCAGTTTTTGCCGTGGATTCATGGACGAGGCTGACGTTTGGGGTGTGTGGCCAGGGCGGCTTAGGCTGGCAAACAGATCGAGGGTTCAGACCTCGGGGTGGTGATGATGTGCCATCCTGAGTCTGTTAGAGGTGTCCGAGATCGGGGCTGATTGATGAGTGAGGGTTCTTTTGCTTGGAGGATCATGGGACTTAGTAAGTAGGGTTATAAGTGCCCTAATTGGGGTTATAAGTACTTATAAGTATAGTTACCTTATTTATAACCCCACTTACTAAGTCCCATGATCCTTTAAGTGGGGTCAGACTACTGGGCGGGGTGTGGGATGGAGACGGCAGACCGCAGGCTGGAGTCAAAGGGCCCCAAAAACAATACACCCTAAAACCCGAAACCCTCCCAAAAGTCTTCAACTCTGGCCCAGTGATCATAACACCACAAAAGACGTATGCAAGACTGTCCGTCTGGAATCCCTGAAAAGGCTTGAAACGGCATAGCAGTGGAAGCATGGAGCAGCAGGAGCCACCTCCCCTTATCTGGGCTCCGACTCCAGCAACTGGGCTGCCTTTGGAGATTCGGGTTTTTTGGATTGGGGTTTTTGTCGTTCAAGACGAGGCCGAACGCCCGAATAAACCTGCAACCTAATAGGTCCAACAGGGTTTCATATCAATGCCTTCGCGGCATCGCAGTCCCCTGGCAACCCATGGACACAGATCCTGAACCTGAAGCGATCGAAGACGCAAGTGTCCAAACCAAAACGAAAGCATCGTCGAGTCGAAAGACGGAAAGTGCCAAATGTGCGTGCGACGTCCTGTGCATAAGAGACCTCCTTGCCGACCTTTCCGAGGACGCCGTTGTCGTTGGCGAATTCCTGACCTTGCTATGCAGTCAGGCGATCGCGCTGCGCATGTTGCTCGTGACTGCGGATACACACTTTTGCTCCAACAGATCGTACCACTGAAGCTGATGCTTGCAAAACGAGTTGATCGATTTACAGATGGACAGAAACCTCATGGCACTGTCAGGACCTGGCTCGCCTTCGACAGGCGGCGATAGCGCTTGCGGGGGCGAGATGGGGTTCGAGTGTTTCAAGAGTCGGGGTTGGCAGGTTGCCCAGCATTGCAAAGGGTGTTGAGTCTGGAGAATAGCGTTGAACTACTTACCAGCCTTCGGGAGACATCTCAGGATTCTGAGATCTCAGCTTCGTTTGGGTATTGAGGTGACGGCCTGGTATGATTTGTGGGCTATGTCGGCTTGGTGCGTTTGGTACTGGGGCTCTGAACGGGCAGACACGCCTGCGATTCACGAGATAGCTGGATTGATGCACATGTCCTTATGAGGGAAAGTATGAACTAGTCCTCTTCCGCCTCCTCCTGCTGCTGCTCATGCTACTGCTACTGCTACTCCTACTGCTGTCCTACGGCTACTGCTACTGCTACTACTACTACTACTACTACTACTACTACTACTACTACTACTCCTGCTACTACTACTACTACTACTACTACTACTACTAGGCCTAGGCGCTACGCCTATTACTGCAACGACTTCTGCTACTACTACGACTACGACTACCGTTTTCCGCTGTTGCGACAACCACGACGACTGCTAGTACTACCGACGACCAAAATGTCGACGTCGGTTGACACCACTACCACCACCACGACGACCAGATAATTATGCGAGTATCACGGAGGCAACAAGGCAGTGAACTTGTTGGTGGCAGTGTGTTTGTTTTGGGTCGTGTACGGTAGCAACCTGCTCCAATAGTAGTTGTCAGAAGCATGCTCTTCCCCTTCCGAACGAGCCACCCAGCGGCACTTCGGTGTTTCTCGATGCTTCATAAAATCCACTGAACCTAGCTTCCAACTTTCCCCTCAACCCAAAACCCAAAAATAAATCCATCCCATTCAGCTGGAGGCCACAGAGTGAATGCATAGAATTCAATAGTCTTGGAGGGCGGGGAGTGGCGGCAGGAGTTGCCCCTGTCAAGACCATCCAGTAGGATCCTTAGGCTTCCCGTGCGAACCTGGCCAAGCCATGGGCTTTTTGCACCTTTTGCTGCAGCGACGTGCCACGATACATCAGGGCCAGGCAGCATTTCTGAAAACATTGTGCCATGTGGGAGTGCGGCGAGAAAAGACACAGATGGGTTTCGGTTGGAGGAGTTTAGGGCCATGAAGGATTCAGAATTAATCGTTTTGGGAGGTTTGGGTTGTAGGAATACGTGGAGAAGGCTTTCGTCCCTAAATCCCTTGTTGTGTAACGGACTTCCCTTATCCTTAGCGCGCCCTGGCCTGAATCCCAAGCCGAGACCCTGACACCCTAAAGCAGCCCGAAACCCCCGCACCGTGTTGTACTTGCGGTGCGACTCTTACCTTGAAGTCTTGAAGCCGGTCACTTCTTTGCTCTTGCCCGCTCGATGCGTGTGTGCATGTGAATGGGGTGTACAGGCGTGCAGGCGGGCGGGTATCCGCTAAGCATTGAAATCCACCTGGCACCTGGAAAGGAATCGAGTTCTGCGCTGCAGCGTTTGGCTCTACATCGCAGAAAGAGATACATGGATCAAAATGTTGACTGCGCCACACTATTGGTATGCCGCCGTACATGACGACCCAACCACCATGTGAGCGGTCACCCTGAGGAGCATAAGCAGCATCGCAATACATCACAAGGCCCTTCTCTTCCCACTGGATTTTCAACCCATAGTTCATGGTTCGCTGAAGGTACCCCAACACTTTGTTGCCAATCGTCACAACCTGAGCCGGACTCCTGGTACGCAAACTGGCCATCATGGAAGTCGTGTAAGCAAGATCTGGGCGGGTTCTTTGCGACACCCACAAAGCTTCACCGGTCAGTTGCTGAGCTTGGCGAACCTGGTCCTCATGACTCTGACAACTTTTGGTTTGGGCCTCAGTGCTTGGTTGGTTGATGGCTGGGTCCGCGTCAGGGACAAACTAGGCCTCTGATTGATTAACACCCTTCTATAGTATTCCTGTTCTTGTACACTGTTGTCCTCAAACACAGGGGCTGCCCACATGACTCAGGGGTCTAAATTACCCGTACTAGGATTAGGGTTTAGGGCCTGGGCCTTTTGGACTCAAGGTTCAGGACTTACGTATTGCGAGTTGAAGGTTGAGTTCAAGACCTATGCTCTATGGATTTGCGGTTTATGGTCTGTGGATTTGGGGTTTATTCCGGGCTTATGCTTTTGCGAGGCTGTGATCGGACCTGAACAATGATTCGAGGTTCATGAGCTTCATTTTTGGGTGTCGGGTCAGGGGCCATGATTGTGGTTCTTGAAACCACCACTGACAGGCCTGGTCTACAAGTAGTGGCAGTAGCAATGGCAGCACTGTCAGCAGCGGCAGTGATGATGCGGTTACAATTGCCTCAGCCCCCGCCGCAAACCGAATTCCCGTAAGTCCGAACTCCAGGCTCTTAAACCTGTACCTAAAGGGTCACGGGAATTTGCCAGCAGTTTACGCCTGCAATTGTCAGTCAAATTACCAGGAACCACATGTAGATACGCGCAACCCCCACCCCCCATCTACATACGAAGCCCTGCGAACCAAAAACCCGTCAAGGAACCGCATAAATTCCTTAAGATCCCAGCAGCTTGAGGACACTCAGAATTAGGGTTATAATTGAAATAACAGAATTGAAGCTCTGGGGGCGACGAGGCGTACCCACGACCCTCCAATGGTAAATCTAAACCAGGATCTGAACCCAATTCCCGAAGCAACGCCCCGCAGATGACCTGCGGTCTCGCGTTGCTCATGTGCACCGCCTCGATTGAACTTGTTTGAGTTTGTCAGTTTCTTGTGGAGTCTTCAGCCTTCATCTCTCCTGCCGCCAGATGACCTTAACCGATAAGTACTGGGTCCGCAAGTTTGCAGGGGGCCCAGTTTTGCTTTTCCAGCGCCTCAAGAGCTTTGTGTGGGTGAGAAGCATGAAATCGAATCGTGAAGTTGTATTGCTTCTGGACACCGAGATCGATCGCGAGTTGTCGGCAGGGAGCCTCAGCTTTGGGAGGTTGGTGGAGCTTGAGGTTTGGATGTCGGCTTTACGAATAGGAGGTGAGTTGCTGTCAGCCCCAACAGCCTCTTGGGTTTGGATTTCAGGCAAATCTGATGCAGCAACAAAATGCGGCTCATGTGTGTTGTATTGCCCGGTCCGAAACTTTAAATCAGGACCGCTAGTTAGCTTCAGTTCTTTTCTGAGGTTCTAGTCATGTCAGTCGGGTTACTACTCCTAACGACTGCTGTCATTCCTATTGCAACGAAGACGACCACTACCACGGCGAAGACGACTGCGTCTACTACTTGTGCTTCTGGTTCGACTTCCAATTCTTCTTCTGCTTCTACTGCTGCTGCTCCTTCTGGTACTGATGTTGCTGCTCCTATAAGTCCAACTGTTTCTACTACTCTTGCTACTCCTACACCTACCCATTCCTTCTCCTACTCCTACTACTACTACTACTACTACCACCACTACGACGACTACGACTACGACTACGACTACTATTGCTACTGCTACTGCTGCCACCACTACCACCACCACCACCGCCACCACCACCACTACCACTACTACCCCTGCTGCTATTATGATTAATAATTATTACTACTACTACGACTGCTACTACTACTACTACTACTACTACTACTACTACTACTACTACCACTACGACGACTACGACTACGACTACTATTGCTGCTGCTACTGCTACTGCTGCTACTATACTACTACAACTACCAGTACTACTACCGCTACCACCAAACTAATGTCTACTTGCTAAGTCCGTTGATCCTTATGGCAAGCTGTCCATTCGCTTCACTTTAGGTCAGGGACCAGCGGAACAAGGCCTTGCTTGCTTGGTCTGTGTTCTTGTCAAAGGATGTAATGAATTGAGTAACTATAGTAGTAGCAGCAGTAGCAGCAGCAGCAGTATGCGCCCAGCTGCGCTGCCAGAGGCCAGAAACCCTTGCACGAAGGCAAAGAAGCTCTGAATCCGAAGTGGGTTGAGGGGTGGAGGTTTGTGAAAGCAGTTGCAGTTTCTGACGTTGTGAAGACGACTCTTCTCACTTTGACAGAGCCAGGCTGAGGCGATGTTGTCATGATGGCGGCTAGCCGACATGTGCGGTGTTCAAAACCCTTTTTCATGCTGTTCCAGAAAGATGATACTAGCGCCCAAACGTTTCGCATTGCTCATGCGCACTGCGGAGCATCTAGCGCGCCGGCATTTTTGGTATGCGCTGATGCGTTCACTGACGCGCCCCTGTCGCGCACCAAACCCCAGCTGACGCGGACCAACGAATCTTAACGTTTATATAAACTCCCACAGGAGGGGCTTAGAACGCTGCAGGTATTTGTTGGCTGCTACGTTTGCTGTCACCCAACCTGCTTAGGACTGTCGCGTATGCTTCCACAACCGCTGTTGATGCTACTGCTACGGCTACTGCTCCTGCCACTACTACTGCCACCACTACCACCAGCACCATGTCACTATGGCCACGAACGCCGACTACTACCACGACTACTGCTACCACTGTTGCTGCTGTGCTGATGCCTACTCCTTTCAGTGATAGGTATTACAGTACATACTACCGAGACGAGTACTAGTACGAATACGAATACCAACGCGAATGCGAAGATGCTGAATGTTGGGGATGGTATTCAGATGAATATTGCGCCTGCGCTTATTGCTGCTGCATGTCACTATCGCCAGCATTGCTCCGACTGGATTGCTTGCAATCTCCGACGGCGAAGCCCTGAGATTTAAACTTAAATGCTGACCCTAAAACCACCCTCGTGCGCGAAGGCAGCGTCGTCCTCCGAGACTCCTCCCCGTGCAAAGAAACTCGCGGAGCAGGCTCGAGAGTCATCGAGTTGAAACTTAGTTGGTAATCCTTCTTTGCATTGCGACACGAGGTACGATCCCTGCCACACCTGAGAATCAATTGTCATACGCCATGTCACGAGAATAAGTTGGAAGGAGGGGACTGGTGTTTTTGAGGTGTTGCCCAGTGTTGCCGTGATTTAAGTCGATGGTGTCGACCATTCGAAGAGATCGGGGGGCTGTTCTAAAGGACCTTTCAAAGGAGGAGCCATGGGCAATGGACAATGCACTTCCTTGTCGAGAAATCCTATAACAACAACGGAAGCAGAGGTGGCTGAGGACACGGCAAGAAAGGAGGAGACGGTGGCAGCTGAGCTAGTAATCTATCTTCATACTGTATGTGCTTAAATGTGCTATTTTGTGGGTTCCTAGTTATACTTAAATAGTATAATGGGCCCCGAAGCCCTATTTTAATTGTTAAGGCCCCTACACTACCCTCTTTGGGTATGTCTGCTCCATAGCCTTCTCCTCCCATAGTAAACCTTAAGCCTTGTAATCCTAAACCAAGCTTACCTTTTTGCGGGACCCTAAACCGAAAACCCAGAACCCTAAACCCAAAGCCCGCAGTGCCCAGGCCTTCATCCTTATTAAAGAATCAATAAATAGATGCATAATTTCACATTTGTTTCGTGACTCTAAATATTACAGTAAATCTTATACTGTATATATGTATATATGTATACATGTCTATAATTTCCAGGAGACGGAGCCTTCGGCCGTGGAAGCCTCCGTGACCGAAGGCCTCCCGGAGTCTGCGAGCGACCCGGCGCCTCTCCCAAGCGAGCCGAAAAGCGGAGAAGCAGCTCCTTTGGCTTGAAGAAGGGACCCTTAAAGGGTTTAGGGATTTAGAGTTTAAGGGTTAGGGTTTTGTGCTGAGGGCTTATCGGTTTAAGGTTTAAGGGTTTAGGCGTTTAGAGTTTAGGGTGTAGGGTAGGGTTTGGCTTAGTAGTAGGTAACCTTCAGCCTTTTGGGATTTATATACCCCGGCCATAACTCGCAAATTTAACCTTTGTTTGGCTAGGGTACTCAGCCT